ACGCCTGTTCAGGTAGTTTAAAGTTTACTTTTCGTACAAAACTAAAGGGATAAACACAAATCGGGCATTTTGTGCATGCGTATTGACTATGGATATGTTGGTCTGACAGAACAAATTGATCTTAATTTTCATACTCTAAATTTGAAAATTGCTCATGTTCTCAGTTGTTTTTTAATGACCACATTTTTGTCCGCTGAAATATTTTACATGTCATTCATGAGAAAATGATGCTCCTTCAGTTTTTTTGTTATATCTTCTTTCTTTGATGGTTTTTCTGTCTGTAGCCACGTGGGCTTTGAGAATATTCACCAGAGTCAAAATGGTTGACATGCAGCCAACTGAGCAGAGCCCTACAGAGCTGCATGACCTCATTCTCTGTCTCTTCGCTCCATCAGCTTCACTCAATGAGATGAGAGCGAGCTGCCTCCCTCCCTCTGCTGGACAAACTGGAGCAGTTGGTTTTATTTTTTGGTTGTTTGTTTATTTGTTTCTAGAGCATTTAAATGGATGTAAAGAGGCTAAATCTCCACTGTGCATCTACAAAATATTTACCCCAATTTCTATGTTCACTCTGTTCCTGGAGAACAAATACTTCCACCTAGATCTCTTTACTTTGATTCTCGATTAATCCTTGACTGTTTGTAGGATTTTACTGGTTTTTTTTTGTCAAAAATGCATCTTAAATTATTATTTTTGCTCCAACCACTGTTGTCTGCGTGCATACATGGTTGTGTGTCTTGTCTTTTGATGGATTGATAAACTAGCCAACATTTTCCTCAACCTTTTTAACACCATGAACCTCCAAAAAACAAACTTTTAAAAGTTACAAAAAATTATAACTTGTGGGACTTTTTATAAATTTTTTTGCTCATCGTCATGCTTATAATGTGGTGAACACGGTGGTACACACTAGTGCAGAATAAAAAATAAAAAGATATATAAACACGCTGAATTTGCAGTCATTGAAAAAATATGTAATTTTACCTTACATGTCAAAGCAAAGTAGACCTTTTATCCCCTTTGGGACACAGGAGAGATGAAAAATGAATACAGATGGTGCAGTTCTGGCACATTTGGGTAAAGATCCAATCTGCATAAATATGATTAAACTACTTTTGTTCCAATCTGTTGCAGTTTTAGAGAAGATGTTTTTTTTAATAGAACTGGAGGGTTTTACTTGGAGGATTTTCAAGGTAAGTTTTATTGAAAGAATATTGAAAAATAATTTGAGGCAAAGTTAAAAAATGTAGCTTTAAAAAATATCTATGTCTTAAAAAAAAGTTTGCATTAGACAGAATAACTGATAAGGTGTTTTAGGTTATTTTTATTATTATTTTTTTGTTAAGTAATTTTAGGCAGACATTTTTTCTGAAACCCGTAAAGGCTTAACCTCTTAACCCTTTAAAGCCCGATCCAAGAATAAAACAAAACAGAAAATTACTTTTTTTTGGTTTGAATTCCTTATTTGCCCTTTTAACAAAATATGTAAAAAGAAAAAACAGAAATACATTTTTGATATTAATAATTTTTACTATGCGATAAGTCAAGATTATTTTTTGTGTAGTCTTCTACTGGCTGTTTTCAGGTATATCTGATTGTGTACAATAGGATTTTGAGCAAAGTTTTTACCATTAAATTATGCAAAAGGTGTCAGACGCAAAACATTTCAGAAACTGTATGTATCAAATATGATACATTTGGCTTTTTGGGTTAATAAGGGTGGTTTGGTTTTTTTGGGGGGGTCTTAAATCAGATAGAACCAATATTCATATATGTTTCATATTTGATTTTAATGAACTGTTTAACTTCTGATTTACAAGAAGCATTAAAGTTAAATGTTTCTTTGGGAATGAAATATTCTCAATTAAAAGATTTTGGGGGCAAATGAGTGAAAAAAAAAAAAAAAAGACAAGCAACCAAGAAACAAGAAGACATCTTGCAAAGATATATTATTTTTAATAATCTGATTTTAGTCATGACATTTCTCAGCATAAAGAACAGAAGCTGCTCAGCCTCCCTTTGGCCTTTAGCTCTCTATAAAAAATAAAGACATTTAAAGTTAAGAGTTCTCATTTAGCTTGTTAGCTAGAGCCGGTTAGCTTAGCTTAGCATACAGAAAAATAAAATACAGAATTGGGTTTTTTAACTATACTGTGATAACATGGAACTTAGGACAATTCTGTTATTTTTAGCCTGAATAAGCTGATTTTGTAGACTTTTTAAAGCTAGCCTAACATTAGCTCGCTAACATGGCTAGCAAACATTAAGGATTCCCATGAGAACTAAATCTATCTTAAGGCTTTGTGTCCATTGGATAAATCTTCTCTTACTTTTTTTGTTTATGTAAAAATGTTAAGCGAAAAGTATTTTAACTCTGTGAACAGAAACTTTAGTGTGAATTTATAAAACTACTGGACATAAAAACTCCTGTTTCTTTACACCATTTTAACATGGAAGTTAGGACAATCTGGTTGTTAATCATTATTTTAAAAACACTAATTTTTTAAAAACAAAATGTAGTCTGATAATCTGATTATTAGTATTTTCCCATAGTTATTCAGATCAGGAAAAAAAAACGTACAGAGCTTAAAACCTTTTCTTAGAGTTTCCATGAGGTGAAGATCTAATTTGTGTTGCTAAGAGGGTCGAACCACGCGCCAAAGCGCCTTTATGGCCCTGAACACAGAGGGGAAACATCTGGAAATGCTCCAACAGTCTACATTGTTGGAGCATTTCCACCAGTTTAACTGGCTACGATTCTAGACGGGTTATATCTATAATCTAACGTTCATTACTGTAAATGACACCAAAGTTGGTCTAAGACTAAATATCCTCTTTCTTTAATCTCCTTTTTCAGGTTGAAGCTAGATTATTAATAAAACAAAAAAATGCTAAAGCTCCTAATTATTTATTTTTCAGAATATACTCTAGTCTTTATCAGTAGTAATTAGTATTAATATTAGTATTACTCTTTTCCAGGACATTTAAATAAAGTTTCAATTCTGTACAGAAATCCCTCCTCTACATGTATTGTTTAATTATAATCACTAACTGAAAAGGAGAAACATTAGAAATAACAGAACTTTAAAGAGTATAAATTACACAAGTATTTAAATCTCAAAGTGTAGAATCATTTGTCTTTGCTACATAGAGTTAATCTGGTCTTTATTTTTCAACCAACACATATTTACATATTTTTATTTGCTGACCAGATAACAAAAAGATGAAAACGGAGCACATCTATGTAGAGAAATTGAATAAAAAAATATGAAGTTTTCCAAAAAAAATGTTTAGTATTGAAAATCTGCCAGAAATAAAAAACTAAAATAGAATTATTATACAACTAAATCCAGATGTTTAATATCTAAGTTTGGGAAAACAGCTGAGTAATTCTTAATGCCCACCGTGTTTAGAAGTTAATAAAAGTTGAGAAAGCAGAAAGATGGAGAATTATGTTTTTAATAAAAAAGTACAAAAAAAAGCTTCGCAAATTTGTCACTGTAACCAAAAGATAAGAACTATACAGCATGAGATTAGGAAGAGAATAACATTAATTACAGCCTCCGTCCTACAGGATCCCGGTTACATTAACCCAGTTATTCTGTGACTGAATTTCTGTCCAACTTTGATAGCAATCCAATATTTAGACATTTCACAAAAAGTGGAAATGAATGACTGTTAAGCAGAAATCAATGGTTTGTGAACCTGATTGAGTGTAATCTGCATGCTGGAGCTCAGCAGCTGAAGGAGACTGCCACCTAATGGACACAAAGCCTTAAACATGCTAAATCACAAAAACAAACAACACAAGCATCATTATAGAAAACCAGGAAATATTAGTTTACAGTTTATATATTGTGCTTTAAAATGATCTCTTCCACCATTTTAAATTCCTCCCAATATCATGCCCCCTGTTCCATACATCCCAACATTCACCCACATTATTCATGTCCATCCATGCGGGTCTGTTCCATCATGGATGTTACACACCCCGATCCCACAGTAATATACAAACACATCAAAGCTGCATGAGAACCCACACACCTTTGATTGATATAAAATCTTAAAGTAAAACTACCACAAAAAAAACACCCAATGAGGAAAAAAAAATATCAAACAGCATCAAAGATTGGAAGCTCCTTAATCAAAGCATTTACTGAGCAAAGCCTTCCTCATACATGTGAATATGTACATGCAGCAGAGCAATGGAAAGGAAGCATCCACTTCCTCATCCCCTGGGCAATGCACGGCGGTGGTGGTGTAGTTATATATTAACATGAATTAGTGACAACTGGAACCTGACTTTTGGTTTGTTCTTTAGCTCAAATGTGTTAAAGATAACTGGATCTTAAAGCGTCGATATGATTAAAATATCGCTATGGCATTTTTAGGTTGACTCATCATGCAGAGACAGAAATAAGGAACTAATTGCTTTTTTTAAACAAAATTTTCAAGAAAATCCTTTTTTATTGATTGGCTTATTTTCCAATTAATTGAACAGGTAACCTGATTATTAATTCCATAGATATTAATTAGTCACAGCTCTCTCTCTCGCGTTCTTTGTGTATATTGTGCTTCCCTAACGTTATATAGAAGTTAAAAAAGACCAAATTCACATTTAGGTCATTTTCATCCATACAAAGAACAGTTTGTTTTTAATTTAAACCCTGAAACTGTTAGTTATTTTAGTTATTTATAGAAAAAATGCTGGACTTATCACAGATTGATGATCAGCCAGAAAACTGCAATCAGTGCTCCGATGGCAGAACGCTTTAAAACAAATTTATCTAATCAGCGGCAGAATCTCTGGATCCAAAGTAATTAAGTTTATAGTAACTAACCAGACAAATTAAAACCAATTAGGGGTTCCCAGAGCTCTGCTTATTTATTCTCATTCTCATAAAAGGTGTCAATAATATTTTGTTATAAATCCTCTGATTCTGTTTATTATTTATCTTTTGATATAAAATTATTAGAATAAACCATTTTTCTTATTTCTGTTTTCGATAAGGCTACAATCTAAACACCATCACCGATGGTTAGATATTTGGGTAAAAAAAAATGATGTACAATTGGTAGCTATTAGTACATTTCTTATTTTCTGCAAAATATAAAGAATTGGACTTTAAATTGGTTGCCTGCATATGGCAGAATCTACCAACCATCTATGCAACATTCATTGTTCCTTAAAAATGTATTTTATGCTTCTTCTATTTCCTCTAACTCTATTCAAATAAATCTGTTTGACTTTCATCCTTCTTCACTAAAACCACTTCAGATGTTTTGCTACTTTGCTAATAAATGTGAATTTTCACTTTGAAGCTGATAAAGCAAACTGCATCCGGCTTTGATCTCCCATTAACAAAATATATCTGATAATAAAGTGTATTAATTAATTACTATGTAAAAACCTTTTTACACAGAGTTGATTTTAAGTTATTAGTAAATATAAACCAAAATCTTACCCAGGTCCCAGATGTCATTTTATATTTTACATGGATCAATAAATATTTGGAATGTTTGTTTTTTCATGCAGCTTTCAAACATGTAAACAATAATAATATTATTATTATTAATGAAGCTGGATAGAATTGTACCAAATAATCCGATCTTTGTGATTCGGGGGAAACAACCAACCACCACCAACCCTGTGAGGCCCGGGGGGGGGGGAGGAGCATGCACAGGGGGGAGGGGGGATTGTGGGCGGGGCTTCAGCGTCTTCTCTGTGTTCAATCATTCCTGTCGGAGAGAAGCAGTGTGTCTTTAAGGAGACATAATGATTTCCTGTTTTAAAATAAAACAGACAGTCATTACATTCTGCATCATTGCTTTTCTCTGTCTAAAGGTTGTAGCTTCGTTTTGGACACTTAAAAAAAATATGTTATAATCTTAATCATGTTTCTTCTCCTAAATGTATATTTCTTAAACTGTAAACAGCTCCGGTGATTTAAGGAGATGTATGTTATCAGATTTCATAGCCGTAAAACTTTAGAATTACACAGCATAGATCATTAAAAAGATTATAAGTTAGAGGGGAATACATTTTTTATTTTGCACTTTTCTAACAAGGCAATAGTCTATGAGCTCTGGTGATGTCACTGGATGGTTCTAGGTTGTCTAAACGTGCAGAGTCTCCTTACGCCATTATACCTGTTTGAACATCTCTCCAGTTCTCTCGATGACGATAGTTTTGTCTTCTTTAACAGGCGAGGTGACCTGGTAGTCGTCGCTCAGTAGACCGAGCATCGGGTACTGGTTCCTGTACCTGCAGGGCCAATAAGAGGACAGGTCTCACTTTACGGCTTATTTCAGAGAACGGCAAACTCCCGATGAAACTGTAGTTAATTCAATATTATTCAACCAGAAGTGCCTTACGATGAAGCTGAAAGGTTTGGACTAAAGTTAGGAAGAATGTAAAATCATTTTATGTTCCATTATGATTAGAAAGTAATCCACTGGAATCTCCTGGAACAGATTCAGGCAGCAGCTTCATGGATGTACCTCTTGGTGATAATAGTCTTGGTGACGTTCTTGGAGCTGTCGTTTCTCTCCATCATCAGTTTTCTGATTTCCTGAAGTCAGAACTCAGAGTCAGAAATGTTCAGAAGAGAACTGCTGCAGAATTAACATCATAAATAAGTTAATCACAGTCTAAAAACCCATTTCAGACTTAGACTTGGACAAACTTTATTGTCATTTTGTAGACAGAGTGTATACAAAATGAAATATCGTTCAGTGCAGCTCTAAAGACATTTTCATTTCTGCAGCAAGGATCAAATGTAAACATAAGACTGAAATATCTCTATTCTCCCACTCTGCAGAATCTGTTAGTTCAATCTCTAACGTTCTGCTCTCTCTGCTTTTTCTCATAGTAGCTTCATCTGGTCTGTTCCTGTTTGGCTGTGACTCCATCCTGGAGAGAAATATCAGCTGTGCTGCTGCCATCAACACCTTTGTTTCTAGATGTTGGAGCTTGGCCTGTTTTCCAGTGTAGTCCTGTTTCTCTGACTGTGACTAACTGGATGTGCTCTCTTCATCCTCTGACATGGGAGCTGGCTCGGAGCTCGTCTGCCTGGCTGTGTGTTTCCTGGACGGGGCCGCCTGTGGAGCTGGTTGACAGTTGCCTTTTGTATCTATGCTTCTTTTTCTATGTCTGCTTCTGTCTCCTTGAACCCCAGTGGGCCTCAGCAGATGGCCGCTCACACTGAGCCTGGTTCTGCTGGAGGTTTCTTCCTGTTCAAAGGGAGTTTTTCCTCTCCACTGTCGCTACAAGCATGCTTAGTGTGAGGGATTGCTGAAGAGTCAATGAGTCGATGCAATCAACTGGTTTCCCTTAGATAGAAAACTTTGAATCAATCTGACTGGATGATCTGGTGAACTGGAAAGTGACCTGAGATGACGTTTGGCGCTATGGAAATAAACTGAATTAAATTGATTTATAATTTTTTACATTCAGCGCTTTTTTTTCCCATTTCATTCAACATTCATCAGTCACAGTTGTAATAATTTTCCTATATGCTAAAATAAGTCATGCCTCCTGACTTTCCAGTCACTTGTTTCCAAATGAACTTAAAGTGTGGGAAACTTTGGCGTCGGTATCTCATGTCAACAAATATGGTTTCCCAGGCTGATAGAAAGAAGCGGCTGATTGAGCAGAAAGGAGAAACCTCAGAGTGCAGTTGGACCGGAAAGGCAGCCGCAAACCTCTGAAATAAAAAACCACCCGCTCACAGGTGTTACATTTCTAAATGCAACCTCCCACTAAGGTGGTCAATTTCACAGCCTGCACTGTAAGCTGCTCATCAACCTGCAGGGTGTTTTTATAAGTGGCAGCAAGTTGCAACAAAGACAAAAATCTTCACAACAGATGGGTTAGGGTTCCAGCTGGTGTTCCAACTGGAAGCAGCTGGAACACCAGTTTCCTTTTCTACAAGGATTTTCATAGATCTTCCTACAGCTTAGCTTCATGTTAATAGAGGTTCTTTTACGCCGCAAAAATGATCTAGATATAAGTAAAAAGTTCTTAAATTAAGTGTATTTACCCTTAATTTGAGCAGGTAAATGAGAGTTTGCCAATCGAATGAGTATTTTTTACTCTTTTTTTACTCTTAATATAAATAATTAGATAACATGCACTTGAAATAAGACAATGCAATTGTGTTTTCTTATTTTACCTCCTCAATCCAAGAACAAATGCACTTATTTTAAGAAAGAAATGACTTATTTGGATCAGGGTTTTTCCAGTGAAGCATTTTCTGCTGTTTCAAAGAATAAATGACTGATTTACTGCCTAATATAGCATCCATCCATTTTCCATCATGCTTATCCCAGCTGAGGTGGTCCAGCTGTCAGTGGCGGGTCCATCCTGGACAGAGAGGCGGGTCCATCCTGGACAGAGAGGCGGGTCCATCCTGAACAGGTCTCCAGTCCATCGCAGGGCAACACAGAGACAAACAACCATCCATACACACTCACACCTAAGGAGGATTTAGAGGAGCCAATCAACCTAACAGTCATGTTTTTGGACTGTGGGAGGAAGCTGGAGTACCCAGAGAGAATGGGAATGGAACCTGGAACCTTGTTGCTGCAAGGCAGCAGTGCTACCCATTGAGCCACTGAGCAGCCCTAGCATAGCATAAATATAACATTTATGGAATTTTGTATAACAAATAGCTGAAAGTAGTTCTTTACTGTATTGCACCGCAATCAATACTTTTAATTATGATCAATGTTGCATCATATGTGAGGACCTGAAGGAGGAAGGCTCTGTGGAAATTCTGCATCTCAAATCAACACATAGGCTACGTTCACACTGCAGCCTGAAGTGACCCAAATCTGATTTTTTTTGGCCCATATGCGACCTGGATGTGATCTTTTCATGACTGTCTGTTCAACACACATCCGATTTTTTCCAGTCCGACCCAGACTTCTTCTCTATGTGCTCCTGAATCCGATACGAATCTGATCTTTACAAATGCGATCTGTGTGTGAACGGCCAGGTCGCATTCATCCGACCTGAACGCCATTAATACCCGACAAAGGTCTCTATTCTGCGTCTTGCTATGAAGAAGCGGCAAGAAAAACAACAACCATGGCGTACGATGATGCAGAGAGCAGTATTTATGTTTAACCATCTTGAAAAGATTGTAAGATGGATAGATGTGGCAGTACCACTTATGTTTACTTCCGTAAACACAGAGCACGCTGGCCGATGATGTCATTGCGTCCTCTACTGTACATGCGGTACACTTGTGTCGTATTACTGCAGTCAGGAGATCACATAGAAGTCACATATCTTTGGAAATATGAACGGCAACGCAGAAAAATCATATTTTACAAAAAAATCTGAATTGAGCATCAAGGCCTGCAGTGGAACGCAGCCATAGACGGATAAAACCTGGAAAAGGATCGGAGTTCCAGCAGAAAAAATAAGGCTAACATTTAGCGAAGGCCTCAGCCACAGTTTTAAACAATATGAAAATAAAATGTGCCTGAAAGAGAAACTGCTGTAAATGAACTCTAAAATGAGTTTTATACATTTAACCAAGCATTACTTGGTGTGTATGTATATATTTGATCCACTCCGTGTCTGAATGAGGGAAAACTCCCCAGAAGCTTTAAAGCTGTGCAGCCTGATCTGATAAAGGACAAATATGAGGAAATCAAACCTCCTCTTTTTGCTTGATGACTTTCTCCCTCTGCTCCAGCTTGGAGAGCAGCTCTGAGATCTTCAGCTGCAGGCTGCTGTCTGCGGAGGACCTGCTGCTGCTGGTGGTGCTGGTGGTCGTCGTGGTGATCTTTGTCTGCAGCTTTGATATCTGGGACTGGTGGCCAATTACGGAAGGAGGAAGGGGACAAAATAAGAAAAAAGATTCAGATTTTATTCAAATATGTAAAGGTTAAAAATCAAAGAAATTAAGTTTTTTTTTTTATGTTTGAGTCAAAACTCTTTCAGGCTCAAATTCAAACATTTCATCTTTTAATGCTTTAAAGTAAAAACTCTTCTTAAAGTTTACCGCAGACATAAATTATTTGGTTAATGTTTTAGATAATAAAGACATGACCTAAAACATTATTCCTATTACGGTTCCTCTTTTCCATCCTCTTTTAGTTCCTTACTTCCTTTGTTTATTCCTTTTTTTTAGTTCCTCTGTTTTTCTTTTTTCCGTTCTCTCCATCTTTCCTTTCTATATTCATTTCTTCTATTTTGACTTTCCTATTATTATAATTTGTCTTGATTATCTAAAAAAACAATGTCTGACCTGGATGACTGAGAATCTTCACCAGCTTATTTCGAGATCATTTTTTTCAGTAAACTTTCGACTCGCTTCTTGCATGTTTTCCTTGTTTACTCTCATCCAGCACTTTTATTAAGCAATTAAGTGACTCTACTAGTGGCAAATAGGGATTTGTTTCTATTCTTTTAGAGACTTTGGCTTCGTATGAAAGCTCTGAGTTTATTACCCTCAATAAGCAGTGAGTGCTGCTGGTAGAACCTCCTGCTTATGAAGCTCTGACAGGCTTGTCTTGTAGGAAACTGCCTGATTATGAGATTAGAGCAACTTTCGTTATTCCTTCTTTTCCTACAACTATACAACATACTTTTTATTTATTATAAACTGTTTTTTGTATCTGTTTATATATAGTTATTTATAGTGTTTTCAGAGTTTTATTTATACAAAAATCTACTGATTTTGTACATTTTATTTATTTTGTGAGGTTTTCCCCAAATGTTTAAAGAGAAAACCCCTCAATACTTATTTTTATCTATTAATTAGTTTGAAATTATAACGACAAAATGTTTTGAAAAAGGGGTTTTAATGATGGTATCGTTAACTCAGGAGATTTCAGGCTTTTTTAAACACGCTGCTTCTGTTGGTGTCTTACCCTCAGGTTCTCGATCTCTGCATCTCGTTCTGCGCTCAGGGTCTGGAGCTGCTCCTTGTAGTGCTGCGCCAGCGCCTCCGTTTTCAGGTGCAGGTTGCCGTTGCTGGCTTGTCCGGCCAGCTGAAGAATCCACGGATCAAAACAGGGAGGAGACGGATTCTTAACAATTCTGGATCATCATCATTTACATACTGCAAACCAACACACTACGAATGTCTCATAGAGAATTGTTTCTACGCCTAGTTTCTGTTGCTTCATTCAATAAGGACAGGAAGTGGCCTTTAGTACCAAACACTTGATTACTTTACCATTACGGCCCCATGAGATGACTTATGCCATGTTTTTGATCTCATCTTCACAAGTAGAAGTTATTTAAGAGACGGCTGTTCTCTACCTTCTGTTTGAGCATCTCGTTCTCCTTCTCCAGTGCTCTCATCCTTCCCTCCAGCTCTTTAATCTTGAAGCCGCCGGCCGTGTCGTTGTCTCGGCTGCTCATGAGCTTACTCTCCAGGGAACGCTGGGTGGCCGTGGCTTCCTTCAGAGAAAGCTGTACAGAGACGCACAATAATCCACATATATCATAAACTTTCTTCACTAGGAAATATAGTTCATGCATGGCATTAGTATTAGTAATATTTAGAAGGGTTTACCATTTAATACAAAGAAAATAAAACAGGCTAAGATGTGGACTTTGACTTATTACACAATTCTTCCTGCAGCAAGTTTTACAGTTTTTGTTTTTGACATTTCAGCTTAATTTGTCCAAAGGTCAACTACCCGCTCACATGGTTCATTAATATAACACAATAACAGCTACACTGCTGTACTCCTTCTAAGCAGAAAAGCCTCTAATTAATGATGATTGTTGAAGGATATTGCTGATTTCTTTCCATTCAGGCATGGTGCAGACACACACACATCTCTCAGACATATGTCTGCAGCAGTGGATATATGAAATGGTCTGAAAATGATCACTTATTCTTAACTAGACAGCAAAACAAAAATATGCATGCTCATTGCTGACGTCTGCTTGCCTTGGAAATGTTTTAATAAAAATAACTATTAAAACTGCTAAAACTGATGATCACTCAGCAGCTTCTGGCTGTTTGCTTCTTTTCTGGAATCATCTGGAGTTGCACTATTTTTCAAGCTTGCTCTTTCATATAAGGACCTGGTTTTGACCACAGAGTGCTTGATTACAACACCAAAACACCTTCAACTGAAGAGAGCTGCATTCTGCATTACTTTAATTTTATAAGATCTAATTGCAACTGCAAAAAAGGCAATTTTATCATCTTATAAGTTAAGGATAAATGAGTTATATTACGGTACCTGCAGCTGCCTGTTGTTCTCTCTGACGCCCTCTAGGAGGGAGTCATACTGCCGAGCCTGGTCAGCTTTGAAGTTCAGGTCTCTTTCCAAGGCCTCCTTCTCCACCTCCAAACGCTATGAACACAGACCCCCAAACATCAGCAGCTTTACAGCCCACAAATGTTCTTCATTATCGAACCCGAGTCATCTGTAAAAACTCATTTTACAATAATGCAGAACGATCAGTAACGTTTCACACATCAATCAGGTTCTGCTGTTAGCGACGGCGATGTCTGGTCTGAGGAAGCCTCTAACTTTCAAAGACTTTTATTTTCATCTAATGTGCAACTTTGGTTCATTTTTGGATTAAACATCTCCCTTTCCCACTGGAAAAAAACAAACAAATTCTAGATAAGTCATTTTTTTCTTAAAAGAGCTGCATTTGTTCTTGGATTGAGGAGGTTAGAGAAATATTTTGCCAACGGAACAAAACAATTTACATTTAAAAAAGAAAACACAATTGCACAGTCTTATTTCAAGTGCATATTATCTTATTATCTTATTTTAAGAGTAAAAATACTCATAATCATTGGCAAACTAGCTCATTTACAGGTGCTGGTCATAAAATTAGAATATCATGAAAAAGTAGATTGATTTCAGTAATTCCATTTAAAAAGTGAAACTTGTATATTATATTCATACATTACATACAAACTCATATATTTCAGATGTTTATTTTGTTTAATTTTGATGATTACAAATGACAACAAATGAAAATCTCAAATTCATCATATCAGAAAATTAGAATATTACTGAAGACCAATAAAAACAAAGGATTTATAGAAATGTTGGCCAACTGAAAAGTATGAACATGAAAAGTATGAGCATGTACAGCACTCAGTATTTAGTTGGGCCTCCTTTGGCCTGTATTACTGCAGCAATGCGGCGTGGCATGGAGTCGATCAGTCTGTGGCACTGCTCAGGTGTTATGATAGCCCAGGTTGCTCTAATAGTGGCTTTTAGCTCTTCTGAATTGTTGGGTCTGGTGTATTGCATCTTCTTCTTCACAATACCCCATAGATTTTCTATGGGGTTAAGGTCAGGAGAGTTTGCTGGCCAATTAAGAACAGGGATACCATGGTCCTTCAACCAGGTACTGGTAGCTTTGGCACTGTGTGCAGGTGCCAAGTCCTGTTGGAAAATGAAATCTGCATCTCCAAAAAGTTGGTCAGCTGCAGGAAGCATGAAGTGCTCTAAAACTTCCTGGTATGTGGCTGCGTTGACCCTGGACCTCAGAAAACACAATGGACCAACACCAGCAGATGACATGGCACCCCAAACCATCACTGACTGTGGAAACTTTACACTGGACTTCAAGCAACGTGGATGAAGTGCCTCTCTTCTTTTCCTCCAGACTCTGGGACCTTGATTTCCAAAGGAAATGCAAAATTTACTTTCATCAGAGAACATGACTTTGGACCACTCACCAGCAGTCCAGTCCTGTTTCTCTTTAGCCCAGGCAAGACGCTTCTGACGCTGTCTGTGGTTCAAGAGTGGCTTGACACAAGGAATGCGACAGCAGAAACCCATGTCTTTCATACGTCTGTGTGTGGTGGTTCTTGAAGCACTCACTCCAGCTGCAGTCCACTCTTTGTGAATCTCCCCCACATTTTTGAATGGGTTTTGTTTCACAATCCTCTCCAGGGTGCGGTTATCTCTCTTGCTTGTACACTTTTTTCGACCACATCTTTTCCTTCCCTTCGCCTCTCTATTAATGTGCTTGGACACTGAGCTCTGTGAACAGCCAGCCTCTTTAGCGATGACCTTTTGTGTCTTGCCCTCCTTGTGCAAGGTGTCGATGGTCGTCTTTTGGACAACTGTCAAGTCAGCAGTCTTCCCCATGATTGTGTAGCCTATAGAACTAGACTGAAAGACCGTTTAAAGGCTTTTGCAGGTGGTTTGAGTTAATTAGCTGATTAGAGTGTGGCACCAGGGGCCATCAATTTTGAACCTTTTCACAATATTCTAATTTTCTGATATGATGAATTTGAGATTTTCATTAGTTGTCATTTGTAATCATCAAAATTAAACAAAATAAACATCTGAAATATATGAGTTTGTATGTAATGTATGAATATAATATACAAGTTTCACTTTTTAAATGGAATTACTGAAATCAATCTACTTTTTCATGATATTCTAATTTTATGACCAGCACCTGTACCTACTCAAATTAAGGGTAAATACACTTAAATTAAGATATTCTGACTTATTTCTAGGTCGTTTTTCCAGCACTGTTATCGTTGCGACTCACTGCAAAAACCTTTATAGAAATAAGCTGAACTTTCTTAAATTAGGTGTATTTACCCCTAACGTTTAACTTTTAGCTCTTTAAGTTCATCTCATTTCTATTCTCAACCGAAGGAAATAACGCATTTTTGCACAAATGCCTATCTGCACTGAACCATTGCAATTTGCACACTGTCTTTATCCACTGCACTGTTTACACTTTGACCACTGCTGCACTTTTTGTATAACTCGTGTGTAACAATCCGGAAAGGTATTCCATCTCATTTGAAATATCAATGCAATGTTCATAAGCTGTATGCAATGCAATTTCGTTCTGTATGCACTCTGTGCATACGAAATGACAAATAAAGAAGTCTAAGTCTAATTTGAGCAGGTAAGTGAGATAGTTTCTTAATGGAATCATTACTTTTACTCTTAAAATAATTAGATAATCTGCAGTTGAAAAAAGACAAGGCAATTGTTTTTTTTTTATGTAAATTGTCTTGTTCCATTGGCAAAGTGTCTCACCTTCTCAATTCAAGAACAAAATGCACTTATTTTAAGAAAAATTGACTTATTTAGATTTGAACTTTTTGTGCATTGCTTTCCTTTACGGAAATTAACTTTAGATGTCTGCTTGTTTTGACGCCCCTAGTTAAAAATGAAGTATTTGGATAAAACAGATTAATCTTTACCATCCTATTAAACATATTAATGGTATAATAGTTTTTCTTTAAACTTAATGATGTACTCTTTTAACCATTCTTGATTTAAAGTCTGTCATGTGACTACAATGGAAAAATTATCTAGAAATAAGTAAAAATGCCTTAAATTAAGTGTATTTACTTGTGTTGCACCAATAACGATACCAGTATCAGGTGGGGCACTAAAATGGTGGCATCGGTATCGGTGAGTACCAGCAAATAGGGCACCGATACCAAGAACAAATGCACCTTTTTTAAGAAAAAATAAATAATCTAGATTTCTATTTTTTCCAGTGTAATCATCATAGGGGACACTAGTATTGATTATAATACAGATATAAATCCATTTAAATGACTTCTGTTTAACCAGATTCTCAGACCAACTTGAAGGCATTTAAAAAGTGCTGACTAAGCTTTCTGAGCTCCGCTGAGTCATGCAGGGAGGATGGCTCTTACCCGCATGTCTTCAGCCATCTGCATCAGCTCCTCTCTCAGGCTGCTGAAGGTGGAGAGCAGCAGACGCATGCTCTTCTCTGCAGTGAAACGAGTCTGACACAGAAACAAAGAACAAGTTCATAACCTGGACAGCTCCTCATCGTTATCCTGTCCTCGGTCAAAGCAAGACACAGAGTCTATTTTCAGGACGGGGAATCAAGCCGTAGATTTCCACTGATATATGATGACATGTGAAATAATGTCGTACATTTAAAGTGCATTGATCGGACTGTTTGTTAATCCAATTCAGATGTTAAAATTACTTCCAACCTGAAGGTTTTGGTTCCATTTTATAGAAGTGACTGGATTCAAAAAGAAAATATTCTAATGTGAGTTTTAAATTATACCGTGGCCTAAAGCTCCTGTCACAGCTTGATGATTTAGACCAGCGTATGTCTGACGTAAGAAAAATCTTGAAAAACGCTGGCATACATTGGATAAGGTATGGCTACGCTGAAGTACGCTGAAGTAAGCAAGTATTTTTGATTTTGCTCAAAATTCCTGGCCGTATTCCAGCGTCTGCCGTCCGTGGGCCGTGAGTTCCAGGTCAGTTATCTGATGGTCGACGTCCGTTCAGTGTCAGTTCCTCATCAGTCGTGGCGTCTAGCTGATCCTAAACCTCTGAGAAACTTCTGCGTAACTTATCCAGAACTTCTCTCCAACGCATAGCAACGTATCTGCCGTGTTCCAGACGAGCGCTGAACCAAAACCTTCTTTCTTTCCTTTTTTCTTATTTATTTTATTTTATCTTTTTTGTTTTTTATTTTTTTGGCGAGGGCAGTAAACACCAGCTAGGTTAATACCGCAATCAAAGAAATCTTTTTCTGCCTCCTGGCGCATCGCCGCCCCCCTCAGGACACTGTGCATCATTTCCTGGGCATCAGGCTGCCGTGCGTTATGCAGAAGTTAGACTGTTGGACCGTTGGACAGAAGTTCTGGACTCGTTATGAATCCTCTATGTTTACGCCCAGAATAGAATAAATCCATAGAAAGTTCTTTAAAAAGTTTAAAAGGGTCTACTTCCTTTTTACTAAAACTAAATGTGAAAAAAAAAGCTCTACAGCTAAATCTATGTGATATCTGTTAGAAGAGCTCTAAGGGTGGGGGTGCTCTAAGGGTGGGTTAGCTGCACCTGACCTCTGTTAGCCTTGGCTAAAGTAAATGAGCGGAAAGGTGAAAAAAAGCGGAGATTATTGGCGTTGACTGTCCCCACCCGTCTTTCGGAAGGTTACGCCTGTGCTGGGATCATCGTGCGTCTCACCTGCAGCAGGTAACGCATCTGTTGTTTGGTCAGCTCAGTGGCTCCTTTAGGAATCAGAGAGTCCACCTCCTGCTTTTCCACCTGCACACAGAAAACACTGAAATAAGGAACCAACAGAAAGCGACAAAACTTAAAAGTATAGTGGAGGATTTTCACACATTTTTTAAAAGACTCCACTTAAAAAAACTAATTACAACCCTGTACCCGCCCCCGGGAGGGAATGTCTATTTTACGTGTGTGATGGCGTGCACAAGCCTATTTCTCCTAGTGCACGAGCCTTTTTATCCTCGTGCACAAGCCTATTTCTCCTAGTGCACGAGCCTTTTTATCCTCGTGCACAAGCCTATTTCTCCTAGTGCACGAGCCTTTTTATCCTCGTGCACAAGCCTATTTCTCCTAGTGCATGAGCCTTTTTATCCTCGTGCAAAAGCCTATTTCTCCTCGTGCAAAAGCCTATTTCTCCTCGTGCACGAGCCTATTTCTCCTAGTGCACGAGCCTTTTTATCCTCGTGCAAAAGCCTATTTCTCCTCGTGCAAAAGCCTATTTCTCCTCGTGCAAAAGCCTATTTCTCCTCGTGCACGAGCCTATTTCTCCTAGTGCACGAGCCTTTTTATCCTCGTGCAAAAGCCTATTCCTCCTCGTGCACAAGCCTTTCTCCTCGTGCACAAGCCTATTTCTCCTCGTGCAAAAGCCTATTTCTCCTCGTGCAAAAGCCTATTTCTCCTTGTGCACGAGCCTATTTCTCCTCGTGCATGAGCCTATTTCTCCTCGTGCAAAAGCCTATTTCTCCTTGTGCACGAGCCTATTTCTCCTCGTGCACAAGCCTATTCCTCCTCGTGCACGAGCCTATTTCTCCTCGTGCATGAGCCTATTTCTCCTCGTGCAAAAGCCTATTTCTCCTTGTGCACGAGCCTATTTCTCCTCGTGCAAAAGCCTATTTCTCCTTGTGCACGAGCCTATTTCTCCTCGTGCATGAGCCTATTTCTCCTCGTGCAAAAGCCTATTTCTCCTCGTGCATGAGCCTATTTCTCCTCGTGCAAAAGCCTATTTCTCCTTGTGCACGAGCCTATTTCTCCTCGTGCAAAAGCCTATTTCTCTTTGTGCACGAGCCTATTTCTCCTCGTGCATGAGCCTATTTCTCCTCGTGCAAAAGCCTATTTCTCCTCGTGCAAAAGCCTATTTCTCCTTGTGCACGAGCCTATTTCTCCTCGTGCACAAGCCTATTCCTCCTCGTGCACGAGCCTATTTCTCCTCGTGCACGCTCTATTTAAAAGGTGCTGTTTGCATCTCTCATACAAGCTCACTTTCCAAAAGAAGATTTGCAATTGTTCCACTATGTCAGACTCACCACCGGTAAGAGAAAATGGAGGCGAACAGGAAGGACGGATTTACATAAACAATCACCAGAATGATTGACAGTTAGGAGGACCACTTATTTAGATGATCCACCCGGAAAAACAACATCCTCCACTATAGCTTTAACACATATTTAAACTCCCTCCTTTGATTTGGGCAGGATCTAGAAGCATTATCTTGTTTAAAATAAACTGATTCCGAGCTGTTTTCTGTTTAACAGCTTTTTAAAGTATCTAATTTTCATGATTTAATGTTTAAAAAGTTCAAGCTCATCTCTCACCTTCAGGTCACTGGCGATATCCCGACTGTGTTTCCTGAAATAAGGAAAAAGCAAGAGTGAGGTAGGCGGCATCACCTGGAAGGAGCTTGTTTCTCAGAGTTTGTCCATTTAATACATTTTCTCAGCTCTTTAGTTCCAACTTTGGAGGCCATAACATATCAAAGACCGACCTTTTCCTTAATGCGCCTCTAAATTCCTCTCAGACATCCTATCAGTTGATTTTGTGCAGAGGATCCGTTACGTAAAATAATAAGTGAGGGGAACACCTGGAACTAGAATCCAACTTGTTGGAACAGGCTGCAGGTGAAACTAAGGCAAGCAATCTGCCAAACCCAGAACGCATTCAAAGAACAGCATCTTGTTTATCTGGAATTTAGTTAATTAGTTTTCAGCAAAGTGAAACCATAACATTGGTGATCTCATGTCTGGAGTGAATTAGGGCCAAGAAGAAAAGGAAAAAATCTAATTCATAAAATATCTATGATTTTTGTGCAGATCAGTTACATTTATACAGTTTAATGAAACATGTAGCTTCCTTTTAAATACAAATTTCTTTACAGATAATTTTCCCGTTTTAATGTATTGTTAAATTTGATGTTTTACTTCCTATTGGTTTTCTATTTAAATGCTGGAAAACCTCCATGCTGGCTGAGGAAACTGGGCGCCTCAAAAGGACCATTTAGGTAAGAAAATACTTTACAGAAATGTGCTTTATTTCTCAAAACAGGGTTTATATTGTCCCCCCCCCCATTAGAAGCAGGCACTTACTGTCCTCGGATCCTGGACACGTTTTCAGAGATGTAGGAGTGGATGTCGCAGTTCTTCCTGTAGACATCTGCCAGCAGTTCTCCAAAGTAACGCGTGTCCAGCTTCGTTGGCTCCGGCATGTCCCTTTGCTCTGACACTGAGAACCTCTGCTTCACTGTAGCAGGCTTCTGCTGATAGACGTTAACAATTTCCACTTCTTCAACCTCCACTGATCCAGACTGGTCCTCTTCCACCTCCAGCTCCACCTCTTCCTGCAAAACATACAAAACTTTGATCCAAACTCCAACAGGAACGAAGCAATTCCCCCACAGCTGGAGTGAAGCTTCCCGTTAAAAGAACATGTTGACTTTTAGGCTGAATGAAGTTGGTTCTGACATCCAGGAGCAGGTTTATAGTTCGGCTACTAACCGCTGTCCTGTCAGATGAGCAGACTTGCTCAGACCAGCATACCCATAGTCAATACCCGCTTATCCCTTTAGTTTTATACGACAAACTTTAAACTACCTCAACGGGCATTTATCCCTTTAGTTTTGTATGAAAAAACAATTTCATTACATTTTGGTGTTCTTTGAAGTGTATGGCAATCTGAAATTAAAATGTTTTTCATGCAAAACTAAAGGGATAAACGCAAATCTGACGTTTTGCACATTATTGACCATAGGATTGCTGATCGGACAGAAAACTGGAAATTTGACAGATTTTGCAACACTTTTGAAAAACAGGGTGCAACAACTAGAAAGGAGTTAGTGGAACCAGAGCCTCTGACATGGAAAAGAAGAAAGGAAGCAAAAATGTGTTTTTATGTTTGGTTTGTCTTAAGCTGAACACTGGGGAAAAAAATCAAAATCTAGATAAGTAATTTTTTTTATAAATAAGTGCATTTAGTCTTGGATTGAGGAGGTAAAAGAAAAGTTTTAACAATGGAACAAGACAATTTACACTTAAAACAAGAAAACACAATTGAATTGTTTTATTTCAAGTGCATTTTATCTAATTATCTTATTTTAAGAGTAAATATACTCATTCAATTGGCCAACTATCTCATTTACCTGCTCAAATTAATGGTAAATACACAATTAAATTAGTTTTTTTTTACAGTGTAAAGAATTTTAACTTTAATACTAACTATTCTAACTGCCAAGCAGTTGGATTTCAGGTTTTGATTTGAGATCTAAACTTGAATTCAATTCTATTCAGTTTATTTCTATAGCTCCAATTCCCATCATGTCATCTCAGGTCACTTTCCAGTTCACCAGATCATCCAGTCAGATTGATTCAAAGTTTTCTATCTAAGGAAAACCAGCTGATTGCATCGACTCATTGACTCTTCAGCAATCCCTCACACTAAGCATGCTTGTAGCGACAGTGGAGAGGAAAAACTCCCTTTGAACAGGAAGAAACCTCCAGCAGAACCAGGCTCAGTGTGAGCGGCCATCTGCTGAGGCCCACTGGGGTTCAAGGAGTTTAGATAGACTAAGTGAATTCTTGCTCACCAGCTACTGAGCAAAGTCAGAGAAAATGGAGAAATATACATGGAAATTAAACCGGCAATAAAATGTCTGCTTGAAGACTGAAGGAGAAGATCTATAAGACTGGTACAGATCCAGACCCTGTTCTGTAAAAATCGACAGCTTTTAGATTGGTTAGGCTTGTGCATATACACTGCAAAAACTATCTAGAAATAAGTAATCAATTCTTAAATTAAGTGTATTTATCCTTAATTTGAGTTGATAATTTAGATGATTTACCAATGGAATTAGTATATTTATTCCTAAAATAAGATTATTAGATAATATGCACTTGCAATAAGACAAGCTCAATAAAAAAAATCCCTTATTTTAAGAAAAAAACAAACACTTATTTATATTTTTTGCAGTGTAGTAGCATTGTCATGATTTAATTGGAAAGGGCTTTTTTCCAAAAACTGCTGAGCAGGGGCAGATTTAGGAAATTTGGGGCCCTAGGCAAAGACAGGCAGGGGGCCCTCTGAATAGAGAAGACAACACATAAAGCAGCCCCATTCTCCAGATAGATAAATGTTAATAGAATAGACATCCATTATCTGTTCTAGGTTGTGTCCCTCTCTTCTTGTCCCTTTTCTTCTTGTTTTCCTCTCTCTGTTTTGTACTCAGCTGACTTTTCATGCTGTCTCTAAAGGAATGAAAGATTTTTTCCAAGCACTAAGCTCACTTAGCTGATTGCTCCTTCCTGTGTTTCCAAAAAGGCCAAAGTAAATAACCCAGTCCTTCTTTTCACTGTAGACAAGCCATGATCTGCTTATCTGTTCTCCATTTTTCATTTGGATGAAATAATAGCTGCATGAATCATGACAGCAGACAAGATAGAGGAGAGCAGGAGGCGGGGTTACCAATCTACTCGCTCTGGAGAGCAGAGTTCGCTGCTTTTAGATGTTGTCTCCAAAGTCTCCAGTAGCAGAAAAAAGTCTCTAGATTTGGCGCTAGGAGCTTTTTAGAAATCAAAGTGCTAGAGGGGTCTGAAAAGTGGCTAAATATAGCGACTAAAGCGCTAAGTTGGCAACACTGCTCTTTGCATGGTTTGTTTTCAAATGGTTTGCTGCTGTCTGTTTGGACCTTTCTGAACATGTGCAGCAAATGGACTGATCCAATATGGTGGACACTGAAGGGGGGGGGGGGGCTGAGACACACTTAATATTATCAGCGTTCTGATGGCATTTTAGTGAAAGGATTTTAATCAAAAACATAATTAATGTGCACAAATAGGGAATAGTTGTATTAACCATATATGTAAACAGAGTTTTATGGGGCCCCCAGGAGCTTTGGGCCCTAGGCAGCTGCCTAGTATTGCCTAGAGGTAAACCCCCCCTGCTGCTGAGATAAAACTGTAAAATGTTACACTGGAAATAGCTTAAACTCCTGAGCAGGTCTGGAAATAAATGTATGAAATGATATAAATGGCCCCTTATTTTCAAGAAATAGCTTATTTTCAGTCCTGTTTGTCTTAAAAGCTTAATTATCAATTATCATAACTTGTTCAGAGAGAAAATCATCAAGGCACAATAAGTGATTTAGAATCTAATTTGATTGTTTTAATCTAGGAGTAATGAAATGAAAAAGGAAAAGCTGAAATAGAGCATGGCCTGAGGCGTTAGAAAGAAGGCAAATGAAATTCAGATTCCAAGGGTGAAAGTCTCACAAAACTAATATGGCTGCTGTTTGTTCACTGCAATAACTTTAATACAAACAGTTTATTTTCCCTTCTGACTCTTTGAATCTCCGATATTTCACACAGCCGGCGTCTGATTCTCTTCATGTTCATTTAGTGGTGAAATATACATAAAAATAATCTATTATTAACTTATATTACTAAGATTAATGTATTGCACTAGTTTACCTGCTTAGATCCAGATAATGCTCGTCTCTTTTTAGTAGTTTCTGGTTAAAGCAAAGATCAGCATTCTTCAATAACTCTCCATTTTCCAAATTAGGTCTCTGTAAACGTTGTAAATGTTTGATATGAAAATGTCCTCTGTTCGCCAGTATTAACCTTCTGAGCGCCACCGACAGAACAAGCCGCTCTAAACAACGAATTTAGCTATTTTATATATGTATTTTTTTGTATATTAGCCCAGGCTTCTTCACTGTTTTCCAGGCCAAGGACCCCCAGACTGATGGCAAGATGGAGCTACAGTGAGTTGAATTCATGTTCATGTGGATTTAAAGACATTTCAATTTGTGGAAAAATTGCAGGAGGGAATATAAAAAAAACTCTAATCAACCAAAACTTTCGTGACCCCCCATGCAGTACCTCTGAGGACCCCTAGAGGTCACGGTCCCCCTATTGAAAACCTCCGTATTAGACAATTTGGTATGAATTCTACATTTTTCCCACTTATGCAGAGTAGAAAGAACGTAGATGTTTTGCTCTTCTTAAAAACCAGAATGTCGGCCAGAAGTAGCTGAACAGCATTCCACATGAGCTCGGTAGAAAAGGCCCGTCATTGGAGGAATTTCACACTCCTGAGTGAGCAAATATCATGATGGATCCATGCTCATCAGTGTGACATCTATTCACTTTGAGGTGTATAAACTTTCTTTTTCAATTATTTTGTTGTATCTGGATGCATCTGATTGCATTTGAATAAAAAATTAGTGCCTGTTAAACTGGAAATTCATAGTTATAATTATCTGAAGGTAATGTTGTGTCTTCTAGCCATTGTTCATGAGGAAGACAGGACAACAATAGCAACACCAGGCATCTTCACACATATGAGGAACTAACCTTTAACCAGATGGCTAAAATTCCTGAGTAATTACATGTTTAGTTTAAAGCTTGCAGCCAAATAAGCCTTTTTCAGCTTCAGCGTTTCTGCTTTAATTGATCTTAAAGCCTTAAAATACACTCATAGTTTATCTACATAATCTCCCTATTAAAATTGTACAAACATCTAAACTTTAATTTGGGTCAAGTAAGTCAATACAGAAACACGTCACATTAATATGATATTATTCATAATTTGAAGGTGCAGGAGATCTTTTCTGACGCATTTTTTACCATGTGGCATAAAGATCTCCCCACAGCCGCTTAGCAAGCAGTGGAACAGAAGGTCTGGGAGTGAAACTAGAATAAACGGCCCCCGCTACAGTGAGAAATAAATGAATAGCCCCAACCTATCACAAAAGACAATGTTAAGTTGTTGTACACAATTGGTTCCTGACACGTCAATCACGGTCGTCTGCTTGTCCCTCCCCCCTGTGCGCGTACCCTGGCACATGAACGAATCGACCCCCAAATGCTTGTGCAGGACGCCATGGCTGGAAGCTAGCTAATGTGATGCTACGTTCACACCTAAAGAAGCAAGAGCAGCAAAAACGTGCGTGCTGCTTCATTTTTGATGCTTGTACAAATTTAGTTCTGACGCGCGGCTGAAGGAGGGTGACACTTTTTTTCTGTGCGGCTTTGGGGTGGAGTGATGTGGACTGCTGGGCCTCTGACTGGACTGGACCTTAGCAGCCCATCCTCAGATGGAGGAGGGGGGGCTGGGAGCCACCGGAGTCCAGGCTCCCATCACCGGGTCAGGTTTGGTCGCTCCGTCCCCCGCTGGCTCCCTGCCCCTGCCCGCCGGAATTCCCGGACCAGCCCCCAAGCTGACGGCTCGGTTCGACTGCCCGGCGAGTTTCAACTATGTGCGGCACTGTAGTCAACCAAAATCAGGGACAACTTCGAAATCCAACCCCCCCCACCCCCCGACATTTTTTCAGGTCTGAAAAGT